ATGATACTGTTCTATTTTGGAGCCCTTAATCTCTGTGCTTTCTTATAAAATTACTAGTAGCCCTGCTCATGAATCTGTGTACCAGTAGCTCTCTGTGGGGCCTGGCTGCTCCATGCCCGCTGCCCAGAGGCTCTCCGCAGCACAGAAGCCTATCTACGGCCAGTTGCGAAATGCTTGCTTCATTGCCAGGGTGACAAAACAAGTGTCTCCATCTCCCTGCCCCCCTCACTGCTCAGAAGCCCTCCACAGCTAGGGTGAGCTTGCCTGTCACCATGGTGACGAAGGAAGCATTCTGCCAGATTGCTCACTCCTCCCCCCCCCCCCCCCCTGGGGGAACTCCAGGGGGACTGAGAGGACTGGGCACTGCTGTCTTGTGGCTATGGGTGCTGCCATCTTTGTGATGGAGTGATGGTTAATTTGCATATTACCCTTTTATTAGATAGGATATGTTGTGTGTGTGTGTGTGTGTGTGTGTGTGGGTGTGGGTGTGTGTATGCTTATGTCCTATCTACTGCAACTATATAAACTTATTGAGTGTGAGGAATGTGTTTTATATTTATTTTAAAATTTCCTCCTAATACTTAGGCCATAGTACTTATTTAATAATTAAGTGCCACATCTATAATAATAAAAGCGTAATATACTAATCAGACTGGTTGTCCTTCTGGATCACCTTCTGGATGAAGCCGGGGGTGCGAGGGAAGCCCAGGTCCCAGGTGCCTGCTGATGGCCAAAGGGAAGCCCGGGTCCTGGGTGCCAGAGGGAAGCAAGTGCTAGCAGTTGGGGGAAGGAAGGCCTACTCTTGCATGAATTCCATGCATCAGGCCTCTAATAGTAAATAATGATATATGGGAATGTTAATATACAAAACAACATATTGCTATATGCATAAATATATGTTATATATTAATATCAATATATAAAATAATATATGCATATTATCAATATAATGTCAAGATATATTATATTTATATATGAGACTTATTTGAAACATTATATAGCCTATATAAAGTTAAACTATAACAGCTGTCATAATTGGGAGATATAACACACTTTTTCCATGAGTACCATGAGGCTTTCATATTGTAAATTACCTTTGTGTTTTGGGGCTTCAGAAAAACCAGAGCTGGTCAGTAAAGTGATAAAAACAGATTTCATTCAGGAATCTATAGGGGAAAACAGGTTTCAGTACAGAACTGGACTTATTTCCTCTATAGTATGGGCAAGCGGGAATTTATATAGGAAAGGAGCAAGGTGAAGGCCAGTGGATGGAAAATTATTAAGGGGAAACATCAGAGCTAAGAGAGGAATTCTGCTAAACTGACATGACGGGATTCTTGCTAAAACTGGGTGATTCAAAGATGAACATGGTAGCCCCAAAGTCAAAGATTCATTGGGAAGAGAGCCTGACTAAACATTGGTCAAGGAAAGAGTTTTTGTCTGGGGTACTGTGGACATCCAATGTTTATCTGGGTATATCTTGATAATTTGTGTTTTAGGTGTAAGATAACACAATTTGAGTTTTTGTTATTAGAGAGTTTGTGCCTATATCTTTATTTGTGAATGTGTGATTGTGTGTGTTTTACCATGATTTCAATTGAGGGTAGTCTTTCCTATGTGTTTGGTGATGAGAAACAATTATTCTCTTGGGTTGTTTCCTGGTTCCCACATATTTGCAATGTAAAGTTTTCAGGGAATCCCATCATTTTGTTATTCGGGCAGGATCTTCATGCTCCAGCATTCTCTGATCTGGCCACTCAGTGTCTATCCTATATAATAAAAAAGCTAATATGCAAATAGTCCCATCCAGCAGAAGTTCAACCAGCAGGGAGGCTGGCCAACCGCCTATGTTTCCTCCTCCTGGCCAGACTGGCTGGACCCCACCCATGCACAAATTCATGCACTGGACCTCTAAAATACATAATACACACACACACACACACACACACACACACACACACACACACACACACACACACACACACTGAGTGGCCAGATTATTATGCATTCAGAGATCATAATAATCTGGCCACTCAGTGTAGAGGGCACTCTGACTGATATCAACATGCTTGGTGATAAACCATCAGGAACACTGAATTGCAGGAAAATTTGTCAGAAATCTCCCCCCCTTGTCAGGGAAAATTTGAAACACATTGAAATAGGCAGAAAATATTCCCGGGTGTCATGTGTAGTGCACAGTTCTGAAAGTTCAGTTTCTATAGGGGCCTGCTTCTTTTCTTTGAGCTATTTTACAACACTGTGAGGTGTAAGAAACCAATAGGAATACAAATTACTCTTGTCCATAGAAATGAAAAGACATTTTACCTTTTGGAATGCAATTGATTATTATGCTGTGGATATTTACCAGATCAGTATCTCTAAGTCAATTCAGTTCACTTTCTGGATTGCCTGTTTATGTGTGTTTGAATTTTTTTTTGAACTGGTGGTACCTTCTTACTGATCTACATGCTAATGAATGATTTATATAAAATCTTTGAAATGCAGTAACTTTATATTTGTATGAGAAATTTTTTTTTTTTTTACCTTCTTTTAAGTATTCCTTATCACCCAGAAAAATTCTATTTTCAGGGATCTGTTCAAGTACTCAATGTTTACTGGACTTCTTGCCTCCAGAACTGTGAAAAGATACATTTTTATTATCACAAGTTGCTAAGTATGTGGTAATTAGTTGCAGCAGCCACAGAAAACTTAATACAGAAACAGAGAGAAATTGAATCATTTCCCTCTTCTCTGTACGTTGTATCTCTTTGAATTTAAGATATCTTTATGATTACTGTTAGACTTCTACAGCCATTAGGCTTTTACATTAGAAACTGTCACCAAACTCCTGTTTTAAAACAGTAACCTTCTATTTGAAGCATAATGGCATTATGTAAACTGAAAATGCTTGTAAATAAACAGAAGGCTTGACTTCTGCTCTCGGCTATGCTCCTTATTAGCTGGGTATCTCTGGGTAAATTATTTACTCAGAGTTTCATTTGTACAATGGGAGTAATATGAACTCTTCTTCCTAAACCACATAATCGTTATTGGTATTTAATGATGTAAGAATATATGAAAAATAGCAGATAAATAATGTAAATGCAAGACTCTTTAATGCTTAACAAGTATGCTCTCCTTAGTTATGATGAGCAGTTTTGCACATAAATCACTGACCACATCAAACATTTTCTCTCCTTAAGTTAGATGCTAGCAGTGAGATTTTGGGTTCAAAAGTTTGAACACTTTAAAGTCCTGGATTCATATAGACAAACTTCTCTCCAGAAAGCCTGTACCACTTTGCTCTCTCATTGGAAGCACACAAATGCTTATTTTATTATAGTTACACTAGAGAATTTTGAAAAAAGTATTTTAAATGTTGTACCAACTTGATGAACATTATTATTTGCATTTCTTTGACAAGGTTTAACATTTTTTTTTTTTGGTGTATTCCTTGTCCATTTGTATTGTTCTTTAATAAATTGCTTGAGTTCTTCAACCATATTTCTAAAAAGTATTTGCCCTTTTCCTTACTGATTTTTAGAAACCCAGTATTCTTAAGCTAATGAACCTTGGTTTTGTGTTATTCCTTCACCAGTTTGTTGTTGTTTACTGTTACTTCAGTGTATGACTTTTATGTTCAATAATTGTATGTAGTCAAATTCAGTGAGCTTCTCATTTTATCTATGTATATGCAAAAATTGAAGCAGGGGAAACAGAAACCCAGGTGGTTTGTCCTTACCATATCACCACTAGCTCTTTTCTCTCTGTCCTCCTCTCTATCCCTATTGTTGTTAGTAATTCTACCATTGATCAAACGCTAAATCAGTGCAGCCCAACATGCCTGACATGTTACATGCATTATCTCAGTTAATTTCCACAATAACCATACAAGATAGCAAATATTATTATTCTAACTTTACTAATGAGAAAAATCAATGCTTTGAGAGGTCAGTAACTTGCCCAATATCACATAGGTAGCATGTGGAGGAATGGGCTGTGAATCTCAGAACCCATTTCTTAACTGGTGTTCTTGCCATGTGGATAGATACACACAACCAAGATAACTCCCTGCCTCCTGCATCTGATTTCTTGAGTGGGGGTGTGACTTGACATTTCTTTTCTCTCCTGTCCTTGTTACAGTAAAGGAGGAAAATAGGGTGGGTGAAGCAGAAGAACAACAACTAAGCTATTGAATTGAATTAATAGGATATTGAACTGAAAATATTTTGGGGAGGACTTAGAACTTCTCTCATTTTTCAAATGCTCCAGTGGCATTTTGTCCCTGTTCCTCTAAGCTCAGGTATCTCACGTGTGTAATGTTCTCTGACCAATGGAGGGCACTGTGAAAATTTCAAAGCAACCTTAGGCCAGAGACAAGTGGATTGGTCTTAATATGGCAATTATTATAAATGTTTATTTTATAGCCTGTGATTGATGACAGCATGCTGTGGTGTGTGTGTATGGAGCCTGAGAGAGCTGCTTGAAAAATTGGTAGACTTTTACTAGCATTTGGATGGTTACTTATTATGCCTCTGTTAAATTTTAAACAGAGCAAGAATTGGGAGTGATTCTCTTATTTCTTTCTTTGAAAAACTTGGGGCAGTGACAGCATCCAATTTCCTAGTGTTATTTTGCTCTAACATGCCCATTTATCAATTATTTAGAGCTCTCAAAACCTGCTAAAGAAATGGGGAAATGTGCTGTAGCCTCTTTAGGGTGGTGAGACTAAAAGGTCAGTGACACACTTGAGAGCATTGACTATCCTGTCCCTCATCACTTCCTTAGTGCCCAATTAGTGCCTGGCATGGTGCATTTTTTTAAAATTAAAAACACACACATGAGAAACAACTACTTGGTGTGGCTTGAGTGGGGGAAGAAGGAGAGTTAACCAAGGGTGAAGTTTGGAGTCAGGCTTGTATGTTTGGGGGTGATGAAGAAAGCACTGTTGTCCCTTTGAAAGCGGCTCTAACAAAGGCTTATTTTGTAATTGTTTGCAGAAAGATTACCACTTTGAATATACGGAATGTGATAGCAGTGGCTCCAGGTGGAGAGTTGCCATTCCGAATTCTGCAGTGGACTGCTCTGGCCTGCCTGACCCAGTGAGAGGCAAAGAATGCAGTATGTTTCACTTTTTGACCATTTTTTCCCCCTGATTAAACCATTCCTCCTTCATATCAGTTGATTTTACCTTTGAAAAAAGAAAAAAGAACATGTAGCATTGATGTCTAGCAGAGCAAAATCATCCTTTTTTAACACATGCAATAGTAAAGGATATTAATTTACAATGTGCTGTACATTATATCCCTGGAGCTTATATATTGTATAACTAGAAGTTTGTTTTTCTTATTACCCTTCACATTTTTCACCCATCCTCTACCCCCTTTCCTCTGGCAACCATCATTTTGTTCATTCTCCATAACTATGAGTCTGCTTCTGTTTTCTTGTTTTGTTTTGTTGTTGTTTTTTAGATTCCACATATAAACGAAGTCATATGATGTTTGTCTTTCTCTGACTTATTCATTGGCAAGAATGTGGAGAAACATTGTACTGTTTTGTGTACTTGAAATTCTGGAGGGCAGGGTGGCAGAATTTCTCTTTAAGAGATTTCTGTTTTTAAATTTCACATAATATAAAATTTACCATCTTAACCATTTTAAAGTACACAGTCCAGAGGCATGAAGTACATTTACCATCATCTATCCACAGAACTCTTTCGTCTAGCAATGGATTTCTTGTTTGTAGCCATAGAAATAATGTAATTTTCCTTATTACTATAACCTACAGAGAGATTGTAGAATTGATGACGATCATATTCAATAGCTTGTCTTTTAGCAATTAAGCAGGTTTGAAGTACAACATTACGAATTAACAGAGAAAATAGATTAACATCTAGTTTAAATTATAAACTCTACTTTTTAAATCTTTAATTTGGTGAGTCACAAGTTCCTGCAGTGAACTAGTCTAGGGGTAGACTGGAGTTCAAAGCTGGAAGTAAGACAAAAGAAGTTATTTTGCTTAAATTAGCTTTCCAAATGGAATTCCTAAAAGCTTAGTTCTTCTGCTCCCAAATGGAAAAGCAGATAAGCAAATGGTTAAATGACAGTGAATCCCTTCTGTTCGTAGAGAGTGTATCTCTGCTTCTGGGTGGTGGGTTTACTGGAAAAAGGGAGATGGGGAGATGCAATAGTCTTCTGGGGAAAATCAGGGAAGAAAACCATCATTTCTTAATTAATGCTATTAAATGAAGACAGAGAGGAACCCCTATCCAGATCAAGAGTTCAGTCCAAATATGTGATACCTTAATCAATAAAGAAATTAAAAAAAAATAAAGAGTTTAGTCCAGCAAGATTCTTAAGAGTATAGTGGGGTCAGTACAGAAGACGACATAAGACTGAGATGTATGCAGCCATTTGTGCAGAGAGAGGATCGGCTCTGTGAGGAAGGATTGTGAATAATATCTATGGTGTTGGCTCGTTGGAAAGTTGCTTCACAGTGAAAACTTGTATAACATTTCTCTATGTTTACTTTTTACTTGTTGAGCTAATTCTTTGGTTCCCATGTAAATAGCCCTATGGAGGTGAACTACCTCACTGTTATGAATACTACTCCATGTCTAGGTGATGTGCTGGTGCTAACAGGGAATAGGTCACAGTGGAGGATTTCACACCATGGAAATTGGCAAACACTACAAATCAGGGACCTCCATTCCTTTGGGAGCTGGTTATTAAACATTTACCAGCACACCACTGATTAAATTTATTGCCCAAGTGTTAAAAAATCTGTTACAGAATTGATGTCTGAATAGTCATCATTTCTATTTGAATGTTGCCAATGACATTCTTTGCTCATTATTTACTATAATCTCCCACAGTTAATATTATGAATCTGACAGTCCAGCAATAATTTTTCTAATAACCAAGTCAATATTAGCTATAACTTTAAAAATGATACAGCTTACTTTAAAAATTAAACCCTAATAATGACAGTACTTATGTGATGGATGGGAAATTTTTTTATCTTGGGATTTTGTCTGAAATCTAACTTACAAGTATTTCACACATCTATAATAATAAAAGTGTAATATGCTAATTAGACCAGACATCCTTCTGGATGTCCTTCTGGACGACCTTCTGGATGAAGCCAAGGCTGCGAGGGAAGCCTGGTGCCTGCTGGCAGTTGGAGGGAAATCTGGGTTCTGGGTGCCTGCTGGCAGCTGGAGGGAAGTCTGGGTCCCAGGTGCCAGAGGGAAGGAAGGCCTATTCTTGCACAAATTTTGTGCATCGGGCCTCTAGTACATTTTTATCACTTTGGAAGGTGTGGCCTCTGATAAGTGACTTTTTCTTTGAATAGTAAAGACAAGTTATTTTAAAACTCACAAGAAACTTAATAGATCTAAGTAATTTAGAAGCCATCTAATTCATAACATTAAACACAGCACTTACCACATTACTAGTCATTAAAGTAACGAGGAAAGGCAGTTATGGTAATAACTGAACATTTCTTCAGTGGCTTAGATTTCTATTGCTAATAATAGCTACCATTCTCATGTAATGATAATGAGCTAAACATTGTGCCTAGAGCTTTATAACATTATCCTGTTGTATCCCCACAATCATCCTCTCAGGTAGCTACTATCAATGTTTCCATTTAACTGATGAGAAAACTCAGAGTTGAAGTGGTGAAGTGAGTTACCCCAGGTCATTCAGCTGGACTATGGCCCATCTCTTAAGACTTGTCTGATTCCCACTGAGTTCATCACCACATGAAGAGGACAGTCTGCAGGAGCTACAGGGTCCCACAGAGAGAGATATAAAGTTTCATCATGGGACACCATCAAGGGAAGACACTAGAAATTCTTGTGTTTCAAGAATAAACGAGGGTAAAAGTGTTGTGGTTCAGGAATGGCATGTTTACATGCAAACCGTACCTGAGAGATGCTAAGACCTCAGATGGTGGTTGATGCCCCCCATTCTTGACTTGGCAGTGATGCCATGATGATATGGCCCAGTAGTTGGGTCATATAAAAAAGTGGGATGTGGCAACTTTAAGTGAAAAATATTTAGGGCAGTGGCTGTGTGGGCTATTATTTCCCCAGATGCTAATGCTGCTCAATGAAGTCAAACTCAGAATTAGGCCTCAGTTGACATTGTTATAGATTCTTCAAAATATAATTGGGTAGAAGTGATAGAGAAGGCCTTTCCATAGGAAAGGCAGTACAGGACTTTAGCAATCTACATTTTTTCCAAAGAAATTATATTGTATCTATTTTTTAAAAGTTCACATAGTCTTTGGCAGATGGCTTCTCTGAGTGAAGTTAATGAGAAGGCAGGTATCGGTTTTTGTTGTGCTAGAACCCTGGGGTGTATGTGACCTTGGAGCTTACAGGGTGCAGGATATGGGAAGGAGAGACCTCTGCTTATTAACTGCCACTGGTCCCCATTGTCCTTCTGTCCCCTTTGCTGTGCAGAGTTCTTTTGTCTCATAGACAATGCTGCTCTGGGCAAGCCACTAGGATGAGTTCACACTTCTCTTTCTCTGTGATGCTACCGGCTTAGTAACAGGGAACTCTGCTGCTCCTTCCAAGCCCTGGTCCTCTGTCTTGTTTCTGTAGGCATCACCCACCATTTGAAGTGTTGGCATCTCTCAGGCACAGCTTGCAAGTAGCGTGCCATTCCTGAACTATAACACTCCTTGTTCTTTTCCAGAACAAGGGGATATAACCCCTGTTCCACCCCTTCTCCACTGTTGGGTCACTTCCCTCTTTCATGAGTTCCTGAAATCTTCCCTTGACATTCCTAGATCATAAAAAAATGATAGTCATTCTCTCTCTCTTCCTCACCTCTTTCTGTATCCCCACACACTGGATAAAAGGACTTTTCATTTCAAACCAAACCTTAGAAATAAAAGCCTGGCTACTAGGAGTGGGGAGAGCATATCTTTTCCTAGTTCCTTATGTATTTTCAGACAAGTCTAGAATACTGAGGGGGAAATACCAGCAAATATAAGACATCTCTTCCTTTTGGGAGTGTACATCTTCTACTGTTTACTCCTTCAAATATTTCTGTCTGTGACTTCACCTTAACACATTATTTTCTAATTGGGGATGTGCATTTAAAATACCTGTATTTCTATGTTAGCATCGAACCAGTCATAGTATGTGGTCATTGTTTATTCTTTTATTTTAGTATTTATATAAATTTCTTATATGTGCTTTTCTTGGGTCAAAAAATGCTGTGCTCAGATTAGAAAAATAAAGCGTTGAATAAAAAATAAACTTTTTTATTGTCTCTCTCAGATCTGTTGTCTTAACCCACATCCAGTGGGCCTTAAGGAGTAAGAGTAAATGGTGACAGTTTGAGCCAACAGCTTTTGGTTTCAGTTTGGAATTGGAAAAGGAAGAATTGTCATGGAAAGAGAATTGGTTTTAGCTTTCTGGATGGGATATTGAAAAATCCAATACTTGGATCATAAGTCTTTCAAATGTAGGCTTTCCCCCCAAGAGTCAATACATAGTTTGTCTCATTTGTATTAGGAGTTGTTATTGGTACCATAGCAGGTGCAGTTGGGCAACTTGAACACATTGGCACTGAGTGGCAATTGAATGCCATGATCTACCTCCGTTCTATGGAATATTCATCCCACACGAAAAGACATGTGCCAGGGTTTTCTGTGCTGAAATACCAGTACATTGGAAAATAGTGAATGAAGTAGCTCCTTCATGGAGGGATACAGTGCACATTTTCAAATCAAAATCTCTGTGAAATCTAATAAACATTTACTATGTCTTAACTGCATTGTGTTTTTAAAAAAATATATTTTATTGATTTCTTTTTTACAGAGAGGAAGGGAGGGGTATAAAGAGCTAGAAACATCGATGAGAGAGAAACATCGATCAGCTGCCTCCTGCACACCCCCCACCAGGGATGTGCCTACAACCAATGTATGTGCCCTTGACTGGAATTGAACCTGGGCCCCTCGAGTCCGCAGACAGATGCTCTATCCACTGAGCCAAACTGGTTTCGGCTGCATTGTGTTTTATTCAGAGTTTTCCAGGTGTTTTTTTTTTTTTAATTAAAAAAATTTTTTTTTATAGGACTCTTTTATCTGACGTGTTGTTA